TCTCTGGCAGTGGAGAAGCGCGCCTGCAGTCGGCGAGCTCTTCGGAGCAGGGGCCGCTCGTATCTCTGCATCTTGCACGGAGCCAAGCGCAGTGTCAGTGTTAAGCAAATCAAAAATAATGTCAGAATCTACTCTCCCACCCATTCCAAGATGAGCATGAAAAAAATAATGATATTTTACTCACCCATCAAAAGAAAATTACTCACGCCAGGCGCGTGGGCGAGCAGAATTTTGCAAGGCTGTTTTAGGCCCTGACTATGCTACAAAAATATCCATTTTAAGCATGGTTGTGAAACACGGTTGTGGCTCAACTATAACACTGTTTTTTAGCTACCTGCACAAAGAAGGCAGAAAAAATAATAATTAAGAAACAACCACGTGCTAATCACGCTCCGAAGACCACGCCGGGTGCCGCGATCTCCCACCGCGCGGGCAAACCGCCTCGCACCGGTTCCACACGCGGCAGCGCCGTGCGGGGAGGCGTTTGGGAGCTGCACGCTCCCCGCTTCGGTATCCAGTTGCTTCACCCGATCTAATTTCATCCCGTGCTGATCTGCGAATCCCGGTGTCGTTGAAACCCAGAGAGAAGGGGGAGCGTTGCCATTGACCACGACAGGGCTGCGATTTGGGCTCCGAAAAATATCAATATTGATTCACCGGAAAGGAAACGGCGCCTTGGTCTGTGTTTGCATCGCACCTGCCCAACGTGGCCACAGCACAGCTCCAAAACACGGAAAACAAAATGAATAACCAACAAACCCACTCTTACGCTACAACCCAGCTGCCCCCGCCACCTCCCCGCGCTCCCCTCTTCCCTCGCTAGCAGGCAGAAATCCACCCAGCCCTTTTGGAGACACGCAGCCCAGCTCCAGCCTCCTCTTCTTCACCTCCATCCCTGGATATTTCCGAAAACACATTCACACCAACTCTGGAACGCATCCGACAAAGGTCTGGGGAGTTAAATGCTGCCCAACCACACGGTTCCACTCCCTGCTTCAGCTCGATGCCAGCTCCTCAGTCCACTCAGCGAGAGCTCCCTGCCAAGAGGCATATGGTTTCGCAGTCCGGCAACGGCAACCCCCCCTGCGCACCACTAATACGCCGCAGCGCAACGAGAGAACACGTGCTTCGCACTGCCTCACTATCAACATTTGCTTCACATATTTTTTTCTCCCAGTAAATACCAGCTGTTGCAGCGGTGCCGAGAGGCAGCTCTTGGATATCGAGCTGTCACACTACTAAAACCCTGCTCCCGCTCGTTAAATCACCTGCAGGAGCTGGGAAACGGAGAGGGGAGGTATTTGGGAGTCTGGCTGCGAGCTGCGGCAGCATTTGGTTTTATACGGCTTCAAAACCCTTAAAAACCCTTCAGAGGGTCACAAAGTGGACGCTTGTGGCAACTGAGGGTGACGATATAGTAAAAGCCATCACTCTATTTCTCTTTATTTTTTTAAAAGGAGTGATGGCCAAGGTAACTGCTGGAGTATTTTCCATCCTCTCCTCCAAAACACGCGGCCGCAGGTGAGTGGTGAGGGAGAGGGGGATGCGGATGCGTTCAAGAGACCCCAATCCACGGCATAAAGCCGAAAGGAAGCCACCGAGCTCCGCCAAAATTTAGAAACCATCTCGTCTGTCCATGCAAGGCTGTTTCCCAAAACAAGCCTACTCCTGCTCTAAATAAAGCTTAGCCTAGAAAAACAGCACTGCCTAGTTGCCTAGGTGCAAGAGTCGGGAATTTGGGGGTTTAATCTAGCCTCTGTCACCAGCGGGTGACCCTTTACTCTCCGGAGCAAAGTCTTCCTGTGTTGGTGCAACGGGCGTTGCTGCGTTCCCAGTGCCGACGCAGCGCAGAGCCCCGACCTGCCACCCGCTCGCGAAGAGCGAGGGAGAGCAAAGGATTAACCACGCACGATCCAGCAGGGCAGCTACCGCCCCGCCTGCAAACAGCCTCCTTGCCCTGTCATCTCCAGGGATCTCACAGGCCTTCCTGAAAAATTAACCAAGGTAACGAGCGTGCCGAAGCAAAATCGGAGGCAGTTCTGTGCCGCTTCCCCAGCACGATCCGCAGGGCAGAGCTGAGGATGAAGCTCCATCCTCTTCATCAGCGGCGACAGCCCACCCCTGCAAAAAGGGGGTTTAACCAACGCTGCCCGGGTCTAACGGTGCCCGTTGCCAGCGAGGGACGCACGTGCAAACTAAGCAAACACGCTCTGCCGCACAAAGCGACCTCCCGCGCTCGCTGCCTCGGCGGGGAGGGCAGAGCCGCGGGATCGGGGGC